AACCAAAATTTCCCCCCCCCCCCCCCCTCTACTCAAAAAAAAAGAGAGAGAGAGAGAGAGAGAGAGGAAATGAGAGAGACAGTTGTAAACGCGCCGCCACTATAATAATCAATTCTAACACGGGGTACATGTACAAAAAGAAAAAACAAAGCAAAGCAAATCAAAATCAAAAACACATTTGACAAGAAAAAGCAAAATCTCACAATCCACGTGTCACTCTTTCTCTCTCTCTCTCTCTCTCTCTCTCTGCTTGTCCCATGTCCTGTATACATGCAAGTATATGTATGTGTGTGTGTAGGTGGATATATAATGTATGAATAATGAATATATAAGTACCTATGTAGGTATAGGCATAAACGCCCCGCCCCGCCACACCCTACACCCTTACACCCCAACACGTGCAAGCACTCGAATCGCAGCTACGACTTCAGGCGGAGCAAAGCAACCAAGCATATGCCACGAGGCCCGAGGCGACGACGAGCGCGAAGCTGCATCGAAAATGGTACCAGAAAAGCGGCATGCCTTTTCTCCGGGTAGTAGAGCGGAGTTTGGGCGGTGTAGTGGTGGACCTCGAGACATTGGATTGGACGAGTGGAGAAGCGGCGAGTCGGGAGTGGAATTTGGCTTTCCGGTGCTGGTCTTCGTAGTCGAGGTCTGGGTTGTAGCCTGCGTGTTGGACGAGAGGGAAGTTGTATTTGGGTTGGTGGTGGGGGTGATGGGGGTCGTGCTGAGGGGAGGGAGGGGGTAGGCCGTAGCTGGATGCATTCTGTGGGGAAGTAGTAGTGGTGGTAGTGGCGGCGGCGGCTGCGCGTGTTCGGCCTTGGGTGGTTGAGCGGACGGAAAGGTGTGTTGTGCCGCGTTCCGAGGAGGTGGACGAGTTGGATGAGTGTGTGGTGTCGGTGTGGTTTACGTATTGGGGGTGGGATTTTTCGTGCTCGGCGGAGGAGAGGGATGAGGAATTGGGGTTGTTGGTGGTGGGGAGTAGGGGCGTGTCTTGGGCGGAGGGGCCATTGGAAAGGATGCCTAGAGTAATAAGAGCAGCTCGAAAGACTAGAAGAGTCAGGGTGAGGCCAAAGAGCATGCCGTATTTCAAAAAGGTTCCGATTTGGTCCGGGAGGAGACACAGCTTGGTCTGGACGGTTTTGCTGCCATCGCCCTTCAGCGGCTTGCCGTGCTTGTCGACGGGGTTCCACAGACTGAGCATTACGATGCCAGGGCGTCGGACGCCCATGGCCCAGCTAATGCTCTTGACAGTAATCTCGCGGATGCCGCCACCAGCGCTCGCATACGCCTTGTGCACTACGTCGCAGTAGTCGTGGTCGTCACCAGAAAAGGCATACCGGATATCTCCCACCTTCTCAGCAATCTCGGCCGTGATCTCGCGATTAAGCACATTCTGGTATTGGTATCCGCCACGCACGGAAATGGCATTGCGGTCGTCGTGTTCGAGGGGCGGTTGGCCGGCTGGCGGCGGGGTCGGCGGCCAGTGTTCGCGAAACGGGCCACAGGGCGTGCCTGGCGGGCGGTACAGCGGGACGTGTGAGAGAAGAATCGTGGGAAACTCCGTCACCTCGTCATTTGCGTGTGGCAGCTCAGACTTTGCCAAATCCTTCAGTTCAATGTCGTAGTGCGGCATTCCTGGGTATGGCTTTAGGCCCTGCTGGGCGCGCAACTCGCGCTGTACGAGCCGTCTCTTGCGCTTCTTTGCATCCCCGAGAAAGTCTTTTGTAGGTTTCCAGATATTTTCTACCTCCTGCGGAGACTCCTGGCCAAACGCACTCAGCGATACGCTGTCGATGGAGACAAACGTGTGGTTGGCGATGACGTCGATCCTGTTTCCGTCGCCAAAGTATGCATTGAATCGATCTCGGACCCCCATCTGAACACCCCGTGCAAAGCCCAAGTCGTGGTTTCCAGGCAGACTGCTGATGAGCTTCCTGCCTGGCTGTCCAGGCCGCGGCTCCATGCCCGCATCGCTCCAATGCTTGAAGAACAGGTCCCCGAAGCGCATGTACTCGTTCATCCAAAAGTCATCGCCATACTTGCGGTACTGCTCCTCGGGCGACTTGGTCGTGCGCGTCGACCACTCGCGACCGCCATCAAACAGGTCGCCGAGGAAGAAGACGGTGTCGGGGTACAGGACGGTCTGAAAGCGCGAGTACGTCCGGCGTAGATAGAGATCGGTGTATTTGTAGGCAAGGGGGTTGAGCGGCCAGGGGCGGCCAGGATACGTATGCGGATCGATGAGTTGCGGGTCGGCGACGAAGATGAGTCTATGGGGATTTGCGCCCGCTTCCTATATGTGGCGTGTCAGCCGTGCGCATGGATCGTGCATGGCGGCGCTGTATTTGCATACCCAGTCTTCCCACTGGTCCCAATGGCAGCTCTCGATGGCGCTGTTGAAGACGCCGCGTTCGCCCCAGTACAAGACTATCCACCACGATACGACCAGCGCATTCACAAGAGTAAAGAGCTGCCTGACACTCCAGTTTGCACTGCGCAGCGCATTCCTCCGCTCCTGCACTGCAGGCCGTATCCGGTACAAGTAGAATGCCCTCGCGACCCGCCACGCTTGGTAGGTCAGGCTTTCCGGCTCAGAGTATGCGCCGACGGGAACGCCATACTCGTCGTATGTCGTCATTGTCTGGTCAAAGAGAAAGCAAAGGGCTAGCGCAGCATCTTAGGGTTTAAACTATGGGCGCAAAAGAGGGCTATGCGCGGGCGGGCATGGTGTTTGGGGGAATGCTCAAAGGGGGGGCAAAGTAGAGTGGTGCATTCTTGGTCTGGGGAAATTGCGGCCAGGGTCCATGGGCGGCATGCGGTATGGGTACGAGGGGCTGCGTCTATGCCGACGCCGCCAGTCTAGTCTTCACAACGTATGCACCCGTGATTCTAATCCCAACAGAATGCACCACGTCAACAGTATCCGTAAACAGGCAAGTAATATCATTCCAGAACTGGCTATAAGTACATCATGCAATCAACCTCTAATACTCAAGCGTAACCTTTTGGCCCTTGACGCGTCCGATGACAATCTCGGGCGCGTACTTGGGAATGACCTCGTCATCGTGGAGCATCTCAAACTCCTCTGACGCGTCCTTGCCCATGTGGCTAAAGAGCGCCTGCGGGCCTCCGGGGTGCTCGTCTGTCCAGTTGGTCACGTCCATGACAATGCCCTTGACGGCAATCCACAGGTCGTCCTTCTTGTTGTGCTTGGCAACCTCCTCGAGCGTAAACTCCTTGTCGGGAATCGTGAACTTTTGCGGCGCATTGGGCTTGGAAACCTTGCCGGGGTCGCTTGAGTCGGCGGTGCTCGACAGGACGGGGGCAGCTGACTGCTGCTTCTGCTGCACAACCGGGTCTGCCGAGCTGCCGCTGGTCTGCGAGCTGTTACCCCACTCAACAGACACCTTTCCAGGCTGCGAAGGGTCGATGTGCAGCGAGATTTGGCCGAGACGAGACACTGCTGAGCCGCCAGCCCGGTTGAGTGCCTGCTGGAACAGGTACTTGGATGCCGACTCTCCAGCCACGCGGCCGTAGACGACGCAGCCCAGCAGTGACGAGCCACCAAGACGGTTGGCACCGTGCACGCCACCGGCAAGCTCACCGCAGACGTACAGACCCTCAAAGGGCTGGCCCTGTGAGTTCAAGCACTGTGCCTGGTCGTTGATCTCGATACCGCCCATGGTGAAGTGCAGCACGGGCTCCATCTGCGCCACGTGGAACGTGTCGTTGATGTCAAAGGGCAGGTTGTGGAAGTACTTCTTGTTCCACTCGTCCTTCTTCTCGCCCTTGGCAATGGCGTTGTAGCTCTGGAACTCGGCCTGGAGGTCCTTCTCGCTGACGCCAATCTCCTTGGCGAGCTCCTTGCCGCTCATCTTCTTCATCAGGCCACGGCCCGAGTAATGCCTCGTGTGGAAGTCGAGCACGTTGGACGCCTTGGAGTTGAGCACGAGGCGGATGGGCCAGTTGCCCTTGTCCTTCTCGCCCCACATCATGCCCGAGACGTAGTCGCGGTGGCCGAGGTCGTCGCAGAAGCGCTTGCCCTTGTTGTTGAGGAGAATACCACCCTCACCACGGAGAGCTGCCTCGTGTCAGCTGATGTGCTCATGTGCACGCAACAGACGTATTTACGTACCTTCGGCAGCCAGGAACTTGGTCTTGGCAGTAGGGTCCTTGGGGTCCACCAGACCCGTGGGGTGGACCTGGACCTTGTCCATGTCAATGCCGTTTGCACCAATCTTCATGAGCATCTTGTGGCCGTCACCGGTGGCGTGGGAGCCGTTGGTCGTCGACAGGTCGTATGTGTCGGGCCTCCACTTCTTCAGCAGGGAGTCTTCTGTGAAGTCGGCGGCGTAGCCACCCGTGGCCAGGACCACGGGGCCCTCGAGCGTCGTCTCCTCGCCGTTGAAGGTATATGTGACACCGGTGGCGCGGTTGCCCTCGGTGTTGACCTTGGTGACCTTGGCCTTCTTGACGAGCTGGACGCGGTCGGGCTCCTGCTCGGCGAGCTCTTCGAATCGCTGCATCAGAGCGTATGTGATGGCCATGCCGGGGAACTTGGCATCGTGGCCACGGTGGGTTCGGGGCTGCGAGTGGCCACTGCAAAATTCGTTAGTATGCTTGCTGGCGTGAGCAGCAGTGGGAAAACGCACCCCAGGCGCGAAACCAGCGTCAGGTCGAGGTTGAAGACGTCCATCAGCCACTCGACGGCGGCGGCCGACTTGTAGGTGAGGACCTTGATGAGGTCGGGGCGGGCCTTGTCACGCGCCGACTTGAGCGTGTCATCGTAGAACTGCTTGACGCTGTCGGGAATGCCGGCGTCGACTTGTGTCCTGGTGAGCGCACCGTTGATTCCCGACGTGGCCTTGGTGGAGTTGCCTCCCATGAAGTCTGGGGCGGCGTCAGTCCATGCGCACGGGGAGAGGGCTCAGCGCATGTGCGGCGCAACTCACTGTTCTTGTCAAGGAGCACGACATTGCCTCCAGCAAGGTAGATGGTGTGAGCAGCGCTCAGGCCGGACACTGCGGTCGTCGTCAGTCGTGCGCACAAGAGGCTGCGCAGTTGCAGCAGCGGTGATGCTTACAGCCAGCACCGACAACAATGACTCGCTCAGGCATGGCGATGGATGCAGGTACACAAGGGAAAGGGAAGGGGGGAGGGGGGGAGAAAGAGATGGAGGGAGGATGGATAGGGAAGGGCAGAGCAGAGGGAAGAGTGTGGGGATGTGCTTCTGCTTTGTATGGATAGCAACGGAGGGCGCTGCTCGGCTCGCAACCTAGGACGACTTGAATCGTCGCAACTTGTGCCTCGGAAGTGGAGAATGCACTAACCCGCACGTCCTGGGGCCCGCCGCCCAATGGGGACGCGCCTATTTCCACGCCATGGCGCGAGCCTCAGCACTGCAGCAGCCAGCGTTGTGCGGTACGGGCAGCAGCCAGCCGTGGCATGTGAAGATGGCCCGTCGCAGCCATCGCCCACATGATGCCCGTCCATGGGGCGTGGTTGGCTGGCCCATGTAGGCGGGCTGCTGGCTGCGACGGTGACGGTGGGCGGACCGCCGAGGAACTGACGGGGGCATCATGCAGCCAGCAGGTGTGGGTGGGCAAAACCTGGGGCTAAGTCAGGCGTGGGCGTGGCATGTGAAGGCTGGCCTGGGGGCGGCCACGTGTGACGTGGGCGCCATGTTATTATCCTCCAAGTATTCGCCCGAACACGCCAATTCCAGATGCATTCGATTCTTTTTTTTCTTCCGTCGCTGCAACAACTGGCAGCCCATGGCCAGCGTCTCGTGCTGCTTTTGGCAACTCTCCCCGCACGCAGCGTCAAAGCCCGGCCGGCGTTTGCCCCGTTGCTTCCCCAACCAGCCCAGCGGCCGGCTTTGCCCTTTTCGGATCGCGAACGTGGCTGCCACGATTACGTCAGCCGGTTTCCCCAGAATGGCCGCCATTGGACTTGGAGTCGCTCCGAGCTTCACACACATGCACATCGAATCGACGCGGCGACTTGCCCACGTGACCTCATTCGTATCCATTCACAAAAAAAAACACGGCCATAGTTTTGCACACCGTAAGATTGCGAATCCCTTGGTCGCCTGTACATGTACTGTATACCGTCCATCTGCACTAGAGCGCCGATGGGGCGTGATTATCCAGCCCATGGCAGTGGTGCCACCCAACTCATCCATTGCGTGTGTCCATGTGTTGCCCGGATATTGCAGGAACGGCGAGCAGAAGCGGCATGTCCCCGGTCCTGACGGCAGCTTTGACGGCAGCTTATACCACCTGTCTGCCCGAGTCTCGACCATCCATGACCACCCACGAACCGCTGAAAAGCCTCTTGCTTTCCACTTCCATTTCCACCTCCACCCACACGTATTGCCCGGCGCCGCCCTCAATGGCACGCAACCGTCTTGGTCGACGAAGACTGGCTAAACATCAGGTATCCGACAAACGCTCCCACCGCCACAGCAAGCATGATCCACCCATTGTATGTCATGAACAGCAGCCTACATCCGTTAGCATCATTGTACCCGTGCGACCGCAGCGCAAACTTACATGATGAAGAACGAGTAGAATACCTGCACGGCATACAGCACCGCCTTGATCATCTTCATCTGCTGTTCGTTGCCACGCCCAGCACCCGCGTTTCTCCCTGGGCCAAGTAATGAGCTCGATTCGTCCGTATCGTCTTTTTCGCGCGAAAATAGATTTAAAAACTCAGCCAATGCTCTCTCTCTGCTCAAGGTGAAGAAGTGAAGAAAAGAGACGTTCCCTAGTCTCCGACTTCCACGCTTGCCACAATGCATGCATGCTTTTGCCTTTGGGTGAAATCCCCCATCCCCTATCATAATGGTTGTAAGAACTCACCTCTAGGTCCCTCCATAACCCCCTTGGCATAGCCCTCGTAGCGCCTCGACATCTCGCGAACCGCCTCGTACCCCGCCGTGAGCAGCACCACGGCCAGAAGCGAAAAGATGAGCGACCCCGTGCCCGAGATGTGCCATGACGGGAATACAATGCACAGGTCCTTGGTGTCCCACGTGAACAGCATCTATCCATTCCGACTTAGCACCCATGTCGCGTCTAAACATGGACAAGTACTCGTTGTATCCATGATGGCTGGGAAGGTGGGAGGGAGAGGTGTATGCGCACATTCATGTTACACTTTGGCCCGTCGCCGCCCATGCCCGGCATGCCGTGATCCATGTGGCCGTGGTCCATATGACCGTGATCCATATGCGAGTGATCCATTGTCCCGTGCTTGGCGAAAAGGCGCAGGGAGAAACACGTGGAGAAAGAAGCCTTCGGGAACTTTTCCTGTTTGCGCACAGCGTGCAAGTAAGCTGGGGGGGAGGTGGAAATACGATATTTGTAAGTGTGGGTGGGGGGGAGGCAAAAAAAGAAGAAGAAGAAGGTGGAGAAAGAGGAGGACAAGGAGAAAGAAGAACGACAAGGCGACAGAGAAGGCTATAGCGCTGACATGTCACACGACGTGAGGCAGTTTAAGGAGGCCTTCGCCTTCGCCCGCCGCCGCACCACTTGTGTGATCGGCGCACGAGCCCGCAGCCCGCGCGGCGTGGCGGGGCGATAAGGGCAGGTTGCAGCACGCCAGCAGCGCCCACCAACGCCCACCAGCGCCCCCCCGCAGCCTGCACGTCCGAGACCCTGGACGGGCGCGCGGTCGCTTGGCAACCTACACTACATACACATCTAGGACTAGCACTTCTACATCTACCCAAGCATTACATCGTGCCCAGCCCTACGCCTCACACACATCTCACCCGGCTGACCCGTCTGACGTCTGCACGATACGGTTTCCAGAACAGTTTCTCTTGTCCAAACTTTGCTCTCGGCCTTGGTACCCCTCATCCAACAAGGCGCAACAAGCATAAATACCAGGGCGACGGCAATTCCACCATGGCGACCTCTACATTGCGCTTGTTCAGGAGAATGGAGAAAGTGATTCCGGCCCCTTCCGCGCTACGGACTGCGAGTGCTGCGGCGAACGTGCCGCGCCACTCCTTTGCCAATTCGGCGCCGAGACTGCAACTGGGACCGCCGCTGAACATTCCAAAATGGTATGTTGGTTGTGAACATACAAGCTTATGGAGGGGTAGCAGTCAGCTAACAACACCACTGCGCAGGGTCTCGGAAAACTCGCATATGCTCAAGCCCCCAATCAACAACTACTGCGTGTACAACGACTCGGTCACCGTCATGATAGTCGGCGGCCCCAACGCGCGCACCGACTACCATATCAATGAGACAGGAGAGTGGTTCTACCAGCACAAGGGCTCCATGCTGCTCAAGATTGTCGACGAGGCCGCCCCTGCAGACGAGCAGTTCAAAGACATCCACATCCACGAGGGCGACATGTTCCTGCTACCTCCAAACGTACCACACAACCCTGTGCGCTTCAAGGACACGGTCGGCGTAGTGCTCGAGCAGAAGCGGCCAGAAGGCAGCCTGGACCGCTTGCGCTGGTATTGCCAGAATTGTCGCCACCAAGTGCATGAGGAGGCGTTCCACTGCACCGATTTGGGCACCCAGCTCAAGGACGCCATCAGTGTCTTCAAGGCCGATACTGAAAAACGGACATGCAAGAATTGCGGCACGCTGTGCGACATCGTGCCACAGCCAAAGGCGTGAGACATGTGACGACACAACAAGGGAAAAAGAGAGGGAGATTGTAATTCATGTATTGTTATGTATGACGCGAAACGTGATGAAGCAGCCAAAAAGACTATAGTCCTTTCCACATAATCTTGGATATATGGTCCGTCTTCTTTCGGCTTGGCTTCACCAAGCCCAGGTACCTGAGCTCAGCCAGTGCTCGCTGGAAGAGCGCGCTGGGTTTCAAATGTTAGTTTATTTCTTAGCGAAAAAGGAGGGAATCCAACATACATCGTCTTGGGTTCCGTCTCTTCAGCCCCATCTCCGGCAATCGCGTTGAAAGCAGACCACAGATCGCTCACGTTGATCAAAGTGCCAGACTCAAGGTACATCTGATACACAATGGCCGTTGCGGGCTGCGTCGCCGACAGCGCTGCCGCGTTGCCCTCTACGCCGCTGCAACACTCACACCCCAGATAGTCATGGGGCGACGCCAGCGCCCGCTCGACCGCAAACCGGGGCTTGGGCTGGAACACCTCTACATGCGGGGATTTGAGGTCGTACAAGAGGATTTCCGCGAGAAACAAGGTCCGTGGATCGACCAGCGCCGCACTCAAGTACGCGTCCAGGTCGTCGTGGAACTGCGTTACCAGGTCCGAGTAGGCCTTGTCTTGCTCCGACAGCGCGGCTTTGTGCTTGCTCAAGAGCACCTTTTGCGCTACGACTGTCGTGCGCAGACTATCGTTGCGGACGTCGTGCTGCGTGCGGAGAGGCGCGTCGGCATTTTGCAGCAGGCTTTCCAGTTTCTGCTCCGACGAGACAATGTCCAGGGGAAAGTACTTGCCGGCGAGATCGCGCAGTGATATAAGCAATTGGACTAGTCTGTCAGATGGGATCTTCTTGATCGACAGCATGGTCTCGCGAACAAGCGGCGATCCAGCCAGCTCGCCGGCGGCTGCACGCGTCCATAGAGTCGAAAGCCGTACGTTGGGCGACAGTTGCAGTGATTCGCGTATGCTGGCAAGCACGCTTGTAGCGTGGCTCATGGTTGCCATGGCTTGCTGACCGGATTCTATGTGCTGGGCGACTTGATCAAACAGATATCTGTTGTCTTCAAGCGCGCTCCGCACGTCTTGCACACGGCCCTGCTCCAGTATCTCTTCTATCCATCGTCGGAAAGACGGCAGATTCCGCAGTGCCTCGAACGCGTCTGGCGTCACAGCATCAAACGCAATGTCTTGGTTGAGGAACACACTCGGCACACTAGCATAGAAATGCGACATGTAAGCGTACTTGAGCCCGTCACAAAAGTCCTGCGTATTCTGCACGTGATCTTTCTGCCGATCGAGCATGCGCCGGCAGATGTTGGATCCAATGTGCAGACCCACATGTGTACTGGCAACGGTAGCTCGAAACAGTTTCTCAATGGTGTCGTCTGACTGCGTGACATCGAACTTTTGGCCTTGGAGGTAGCGCAAAGAGTGGCCTGAGAGCCGTTCCTCGAAACTCTCTGCAGACGTCGCAATGCCAAACAGCAGCACAAAGGGAAGACGATCAAGCCATGTGCTGGACGGGGTCAGCAAAGCCTGTCGACAGCGCATGCATACTTACTGCAGGAGATCAACAAAATCGACAAGCAGTCCAACATCAAACGCCTCGCTATCCTGCAACGCCACCACAATGCTCTCTACACGTGATTTCCTATGCCACTCCTGGATATGGCCAAGGTCGTAATTCAGCAGCTTCGGACCATGTCTCGACGACGCAGACGGGCGATCAACATCATCTTCCTCATCGTCGTCGTCAACGCGCGACGTCACCTTCTTGATGAGATTCTTCAGCAGCGCCTTGAGATTGGGACATTCGCTCGAGGTAAGCACAGCATATGCGCTATTGCCATGTCTGATGCTCCTGCCGAGGCGCTCGAAGAACGGGCCGTGAGACGCAATGCTGGGCCCAGCGACAATCAGCGCTGTTGGAACGGCAGACTGGGGCTCATGTGCACATGAACTGGCCGTAGAGATGAAATTCACAATCTTCTCCTGGGTCGCGCTGTCGGCGCCTTCTAGCGTGTTCTTCCCACCCGGTTAGATACATGCCATCACGGCCGTTGCGGGCGTAGAAATTAAATCAATCTTACTTGGATCCGCTCTTCCTGCCGTGCCCATAGAGTGCGGTACGTCGCCAGCCGGTCGCGCAGCTGCGCCTGCGGCTCGAATTTGCCTGTCCGTTGGCGCTTGGGCGCGCGATCCTGCGTGTGCGGCGGCTCATAGATGTAACATCTCTGATGCTCCATGTTATGGGTTTCTAGTGCTGTCCCACGGACACTGGGTTATCGACTCGTTGGTATATATTGTTGACGGCGGTGCTGGCTTAGGGGGGGGGAGGGGGCTTAGTTTGGGGAAAACGCGTCGGGAGCGAACGCGTGGTCACGGGACTGGGGCCTTGGGGGGTTAATGGTCAAAGCTTTGTTTTCATACTAAACAAAGAAGAAAGACGAAGTATCTGGTATATCACGTGCTGAATGGGGGGGAAATGCGACTAGAAACAGCGTTTGAAATTTGTTGCAACCTTGGCTGCATATTAAAATCAGTCGTGCTATAGCTTAGTCATGCGTTTTGGATGGGGGCTTGAATGGGAAGACTGAATTCACACAATTCACTCTTATTAGCTGGGAGATGAGTTGGGAAGCTTCACTGTTTCGTCTGATGGGATGCTAGGATGTTAGGAGTCTCTGTCTTGAACTAGTCCATGACAAACGCCAGTATAGCCAGAACGGCCAATATAACCAGAGCAGACCAGAACAACAGCATAGGCAGATAAAACCGCACCCCCTTTCTAGCGTTATCACAGGCTGTAGGAATGTCTATACCATTTGATTGTCTATGCCAAAGATGTCCACATCAGCATTCAGCACACTAAGTCCTGCACCGAAGTCTCACAAGTTTACATACTCGAAGTCACAGGCTTTTCCAGAAAATCATCTGTAGCTGTCTGTTATAGTAAACAGAGTTTCCTAGAGAGGTTCTCAAACAAGTTGCATGGAACGGGCACGATCTTTGGGTACCGCGGAGAGCAACTCACATCAACACCAACCAAGGTGGAAGCTCTATGGCTTTCTGCTGCGTCATGTCGCTGGATGGAATACACACCAGTTTCATACCTTGTGAGCTATGGGCATGGGCATGGCTTGAAGACGCCAATTGCATTCAATCGTGCTCCTCCTCAGTCACTCCGGGACAACCTTCCATGTCCGAATCCGGATACTCATACCCGCAATAGAGGCAGTAGTTGTACTTGTCGCGCAGAAAGACCAAAAGCTTGTGCAGACGCTCTGTCACGGGCAGAGCCTCAAACTCTGCGAGTTCTGGGTCTTCGTCCTCGAGCTCGTTTTCCAGTGTGGTGTAGAAGGGCGCTAGGTCGCGGCCCTGTGCTATCTTTGAGTCGTCGTCATCGTCGTCTTCCTCGGCAGCTAAGGTGGGCAGTCGTGATGCAATGCTGTTGTTCAGTTCTCGTTTCTGCTGCTTGTCGCGCTTGGACTCTGCCCTTCGTCGCGCCCGAGCGCGCCACAGCACATTGATGTGCTTGAGTGGCTTTTCACTTGTTTCAGTTGCACCTCCTGCCTCTGCTTCCTTGTCGGCGAGTCGCTCAGCCGTCCTCTGCGCGTTGTCCAAATCCCTTTCTGCCTTCTTCTCCTTTTGCTCCTGTCGCATGATTTCAAGATAGTCGCCCTCTTCTTCCTTTGCGCGCTTCGCCAGCCGCTCTGCCTCCTCGAACTGTTCTCTGAATTTCCGCTTCTTCTCCGACTCGAGGCCAATGCCCCCTCTATCATCTTTCAAGTTGACCCGTATAGGCTCTCTGCGCGCATCTTCGGATTTTCCCAGGGCGTCACCTTGCTTGAACCCAAATTTGGCCATCATCTTGAATCCTTTGTTCGTCTCCGGAAGGGCAGTGGCAAGCGCAGCTTCTCGGGCAGCTTCGGCCTCCTCTTCGCGTTCGGCCTTCGTCTTTTGCCGTGCTCTGGCTTCGCCCTGTCGGTTTGTTAGCCTGGCGCTGCAGTATCCAAGCGGAATGGCGCACCTCTTTGCGCTTGCGCGCGGCGCGCTGCAGTGAAGTTTCATACTTTGGACCTTTTGGCGCATCCTCAAACACCATGTTCATGTAGTCATCTTCCTCGTCGGACTGCGCCATGTTGTTGCGGTCCAATGGTGGAGGTTGGCGATGATGCCTGGCAAAGGCCGCGACTCGTAACCACCAAAGTGGCCCTGAAAATGGCCCACCGTAGCGTCACTTGGCACATGCTTGGAGGGGCGATCCCCCAGACACCCTTCTTTGGACTACACGCCCTTCACCGGATCGTCTGGCCGCCAATTGCTCAACCCACCATACTATCGCCATGTTGCAAGGCGTGTCGCGGAGGCACGCCCGGCCCTCAGCGCGGCACAGCTCAGGAGGTCTCCACCGTCCGCAAATGTCAGTCTACGCCACCCACACAAGACGCATTATCCGATGAGCCTAGAAGCTCTCGTGCCAAAGCGCAGTCCCTCGCCCAGAAACCGAGCAAGGAAACGCCATGCTTTCTCTGGACAAATGAGCTTACAGCCGTGCTCTTGAGCGCTCTCACTTGATACGGCGCGAATTTGCGGATACGGCATCTTCGCAGCCCCGGACACCAGGCATCGCCGCCCAAAGCCCTTTCATTACGCATACCAACACTTCACATGAAATGCCGGCGATGCCGATCCCGTTATGGAGCGATTCGGAGGGCAGAATAGCAACTCACCTGCTCCGTTGGGACGCTGCTCGTCTGTGAAAACGAGGCGCTGGTTCCAAATTCAGCCTGAGGACCGGCAAGGAACCGCTTGCATTGGCCGCCGGAACCAGGGATGTCGGCTCATCGCTAACTTGAACTAGAAGCGACTCGCATGATTGGCCTGGGGTAAATATTGCTCTTATGCCATCCGATCCACCCCAGAGCATGCTCCTTTGTTCGCGTGCCATGGTCATTCTGCTCGAGTGCTCTCCATGCCACCAGCAGAGCCAATACGCAAAGCTGGACATGGCTAACCACCTTAGCTCCCGCTCGTGCGGCCACTCACGGCCCTTTCGGCGCTTCACGATACAAGTTTTGATCCCATCCCCAGGATAAGGGAAGAGAAGCATGCACATGTGCCAGTCGATCCTCTGGTCTGGTAAACTAGTCTTGCCTCGGCTTTGGCTTTCTGTTGGATAGGTGGCAAGCATCTCGGAGTCCCACCGCAAGAGGCTACTCTCGGGCCACCCGTCGTCTCCGTCGAATCCATACAGTGGGCCCTTACTGATCGTACCCTTTTCGACCTTGGCCCGGTAAGACTTATTGTACGTGCGTCGCTATTTGCGATCAGGCAGAGAGGGGGTTTCGGTACACTCTGCGCATGTGCTTGTCTTCTGAGCTTTTCCCAGCTCCCAAGTCTTTGCAATTTGCTTTCCCCGCATTCCATACCGTTTACTTTGACGAGTGGATCGGTCCCTTTGCCGTACCCTTGTTCTATTTAACATACACTGGTTTCCTCGCTCCGCGGCCCACCCAAAGAGTTTGTGTCTTTTACGTGTCTTGGTAGACGCGAAATCCCGCGACGATCGCGTCTCTACTGGGAGCAAATTTGCACGCAAAAGGGCCTTCGACATGGACGACAAAGAATCGACAACACGTGAAAACGATGTCCGCACCACGCCCCAGGGGAGAGGTGGTATCATGAACAAGCTGTATCCTCCAGGAGAGAAGCCAGGCGCGAAGGGTCGCATGAAGAACCACTGCAGGAAGTTTTGGTGGTGTGGTACGTTGACGCCCACAGACCTGGTCGTGTACTTTATTGACGCGTGACAGACTTTTTGGTATTTGCAATCATTGTGCTGATCATTGTGCTGCCAATCATCTACGTTGCCATACCCAAGAGAGCCCAGCGCGAGATCAACCGTTCCACAATAGAGGTGACTTCTCAGGACGTAACCGACCCTCACTCAGACAGCATCCGCTTGAAACTCAACACGCTCATCAAGAGCAACAGCAGCTACCACCCCAGGATCGACGGCTTCCGCGCTGGCCTCTCACTCAAAGGACAGAAGCCCTTCTTGTTCGTCGACATTCCCGGAGTCAAATCTGAGAAGGAGGTGCCAGTCACGGTTGACCAGAATGTGCAATTGCCCAATGTGACTGCTTTTACGCAGTACACCAAGACGGTCCTGGCCAGCGAAGAGTTTGACGTCTATATGAATGGCAAGACTAATATCCACCTTTCCGGCCTCCCGACCATGGACGTCAATTACAACAAAGTTGTCAGGATGAAGGGTGCGTACTCCTGTCACGCATATCCACTCGCACGAGAGACATGACTAACAGGGCTACAGGACTAAACAAGCTCAGCGGCCTTAACATCAGCGACGTCCGCATTCTTTCCGGCGACACGCTCCTGCAGGACGGCTCCAACCTCGTCGCCAACGTCAGCATCCCCAACCCCTCTGTCATGACGCTCGATCTCGGCAACGTCACCCTCAACCTCTTTGTCGACGGCAAGGAAATCGGCTATGTGCTCGTCCCAGACCTCTACCTTAAGCCCGGCAACAACACGTTCCCCCTGCAGAGCCACGTCAACCAGCTCACCATCCTCAGCCTCATCACGTCCCAGTACAAGAACGCCGTCCTGCCCCTCCAGATCATCGGCAACTCCAGCATCAGGAACGGAGAGCACCTCACGTACTATGAAGACGCTATCAAGAGTAACACAATCAATCTCGATTTGAATGTTGGGCCCGCGCTCGCGGCAATTGGAATCAACACTACGAGCTTTGGTTCGTCGTAAACGGGGCTGGGAAAGCGTCTGTTTTGGTTGTGCTATGCATGTGGTGATGCGGTAATGTGGTAATGTCCAGGGGGAACCCCGGTGGTTCAAACAGTCGTTTTTACGCAGTGCATGTATGATATCCCGTCGTTTGAAAAAAAATACTAGTCGTTACTTGTGTTTGATTGAAGTTTTGCCTTGATTCCACTCATGTACTGAAATCCCATTCCAGCCCTTTTGCTTTGCCGTCCAAGCACAAAACGAAATATGCACACTTGTATAGCAATGGCAAAAAGGGTCATGGTAGCCGCTTGCACACATACATGTTCCTACACTACTAGTGTATACTAAGTACCTCCTCACCCCTCCATCTCCCACTCGTCAACAAAAAACTCGACAATACCCGCCGCAACCCGCCGACCCACGGCAGCTTCCAGCCTCGCAGCCCGACTCCCATCCCCAGACGCCGCGCCAAGGGCCAAGACAAGCAGTTCTTCCAGACTAGCCACCACGTCGCTCAGAGCAATGACCTGGGCGTCGGTCAGCGGCGGCTCCGTCGTGCAGTATGGAAGCAGATGCTGGACGGCGCTTTTATTGGCGTGGGGGCGCTGACGTGAGAGCCGCGGTGGTCCTGGTGCTAGGGCCGGAGTCGGAGCCGCCGATACTGGTACCGGTATAGGTGCGATGTGGTTGTAAGCCCGGCGTGGTGCATGGTTGCTATGCTGTTTCTGGGGGAAAGTCCCATGGCTGCTGGGGTGAGGGTAGCGCGTTGCTGGAGGGATGGGCGGCGCGTGGATAGCGCCGTCTGTTTCGCCGTCGAGCTGGGGGATCATGGGGCTGTTCCTGGGTTGGGTGGTGGCATTGAGGCATTGGATTAGATAGGCTGGGGTTTTGTTTTCGTTTCCGCATGGGGCTGAGTGGGTATATTTTGGTATACTCAGTACGGAATCGGCCGAGGTTGGGGGGTGAGCAGGGTGATTCTGGGGCTGTGATAACGAAGTCACTGGGAGGTTGGGCAGTTAGCGTGTTAGTCTGTTTGGAGAATTGAATAGTGGTTACTTGTGCAAGCAGAGCGTGTGTGTGTGTGTGTGTGTGCAAGGTATCTAGAGCTTTGTGTGGGTGAGTGTGTAGACTCAAGATTCAGAGGAGAGTTTGAGGTTTTGCGTCGAATGCGATGTACGTTTGTTAGGTTGACTCAGCGTAGTAGGGGTGAACGTTCTAAGGGTGACGAATGGGTAAAAGGGGAAGGGACGACGCCTGCTGCCTTCCCACAATCTATATCAACTTCTAACATTCGACCCCTTATGCGGTAAAGACCTGGAAACTTGACTAACTCGACGGAGCTCGGCGACGAAAGCGGAAAGATAGTAGCCATATACACAGACGCAATGTTGGATTTGGTACATTTGACGCGGACTCTATGCTCTATATGTTGCCAACTGTGACGACAGTGAAAGGTGGCCATGTACATGACTGATATACACGTAAATGCATAGGCCCAGATTCTTCAGAGAATGCATATCTACGCCTGCAAACCGAGAGGGTATCATGAGAGGAGAGTATACAAAAGGAATGTGTAGCGCGCGGACCCATGAGACTAGTTTCGACAGCCAACGACAAGACAACACCTTTATCTGATGAGATCAACTGGAAATTTTCGATCAGGCCTCTCGGGGGTGCGCTCCTAGGTCCTTTGCAAGTGAAGCTTTTTCTACTGGTTGCTGTTCCGGGCTCGCGGGTTGGACTGCTGGATCTACTGTTGACTCGGGCTTGGCATTTTGCGCAGACCCGTTCTTCTTCTCTTCAGTTTTACCCTTCCAAAAGCCCAGCAACTTGGACGAGACGGGCTCGGGATGCTTTGCTTTGAACTCCTCAAGCTCTGCCCTGACGGCCTTGAGTTCGGCCTGCACTGCTTCTAGGTCTTCCCGGATATCATCCCTGGCGTTCTTCGCTTTTCTTCTTTGCCTCCACTGCTCAACAAGGATCACACCGATGCCGACAGCGAAGATGAAGGTTTCGGCGACAAAGTTTGCGCCCATTTCAATGGCCTTTTGCTCGGACAGAGGTCGGATGCGTGGCCGCACCTTTTCCCCCGCCTTTTTCTTAATGGCCTCGCGCTCCTTTTCGGTGAGGGCCTCTTGCGCTTTGGTCTCTTCTTCGGTCAAGACGGTGGGCGCTGCCGCTTCTTTCCGCTTGGCCTCTGCCAAGGCAACTTCCTTTTTGATCTGCCGATCTATCACCGCGGGGTCTTGCAGGAGTCCGAGGCGCATGCGCATGTCAACACGATGCAGTCTTTGGGCAAACGTGACGCATATTCGGCGGAAGCGTTCGTGCTCGTGGGCATTGCGTTTGATGGCATTCTGGCTAGAGTCAGCTGTCGTTGCAGAGGCGGGGTCGAGCGCAGACATACGGCTACAGGCTTTGCCAGCGTCCTGACGAAGAGCGACGTGACCTTGAGGGTGAGGGACATGTTGGGTCACGGCACCCGGCTGGGGCGGTCTATCTATGGGGATGTGTGCTAGCGATTGGTGGGCGGGCAGGGGCTCGTTGCCAGATTCTACGCGGATAGAGACATGTCGGAGGTCGGCCGGCGGCTCCCAGTCGTGGCGGTGTTGGCGTCGTTGGTGGTCGTTGTAGTGGTGGTGAGCATAATTCGATCGGCGCCGGATGCTGGATTTGCATTTGCAGTTGCCTGACGACAGGCCGGCCTTTGATGCACAGACGGGGCCGACTACGATCGCAACGAGAGGCCTGGGGGCAGCGCAACACGACGGTGCCATCCAATGCACTCGAGACACATCATCACTGGACGACTAGATCGCATTGGTACTGGCTGCATACGAGTGTTGCCATCGCAGGTGGTCGATTGTGCACGCTGCTGCAGTGCATGTGCACGGATCGGGCAGGCGCCCCAGGGCCCTAGCAACGGCGCTAGGCCGCGGCGTGTTTACGACCATCAACACTGCGACCTGGTCTCATCATCCTCACACTCTATCGCCAATGTCTGCCTCGACGATACACGCAGATGCCCCGCCGGCCGTGGTGCAGGACCCCGAAGGCCTCCAGTATGAAACGGGCGTGCAGCTGGGCAAGGGCGGCTTCGCCATATGCCACCGCGCGAAGCTGCTGGGCCACGAGCATCTCGGCAGCAGCACAGTCGCTTTGAAAATCGTCAAATCCAAAATGGAGCCGCCCAAACTGGCGCAAAAGGTGCAGCCATCCTGGAGGACAACGACGCGAGCCCTGCTGACGTGCTACTACAGTTTGTGACGGAACTCCAGATCCACTCCAAGCTCTCCCATCCCAACATCGTCGAGTTCTTCCGCGCTTTTTCCTTCGAGTCGAGCACCTACGTCGTCCTCGAGCTGTGTGAAAACGGCTCGCTGGCCGACGCCATCAAGAAGCGCAAGTACTTCACCATGCCTGAGATCCGGCGCTTCATGATCCAGACGTGCGGCGCCATCAAGTACCTGCACCAGCGCAACATTGTGCACCGCGATCTCAAGACGGGCAACCTCTTCCTCGACCGCAACATGGATGTCAAGGTCGGCGACTTTGGCCTTGCCGCATTGTTGGTGTCGCAGAGCGACTACGGGGCGATCCGTCGAACAACCATGTGCGGCACACCCAACTACCTTGCGCCCGAGGTCCTGGAGAAGACGGGCAAGGGCCACGACGAAAAGGTCGATCTTTGGGCGATTGGAATCATGATGTACACACTGGCCGTCGGCAGGGCGCCGTTCCATGCCGCCAAGCGCGAAGACATTTACCGAAAGCTCAAGGCGCGCGAGTACACTTGGCCCGATCTTGCAAAGTTTGGCAACGAGATTACCGACGACCTGCGCGACATTGTGTCATTACTGCTCGTCCACGAAGACGAGCGACCAACACCCGACCAGATTGTCGCGCATCCATTCTTTAAACTGGGCTATATCCCATTAGAACTCGATAGCGGCTGTACTTCGAGGATACCGAAATGGCCCAAGAACCGCCCGCCAACCTCTTCTACCATCAGGCGCGGATACACGGAGGAGTGGTGGCAGCTCTGCAAATCCTCCGCTGTCGGCGAGTACGAGCCCGGGAAAGCATTCGGAGCATATGGCCGTAGGACGAACAAGACGGTTGCAAGGGACTGCCAAAAAGAAATCGAAGCCGGCAAGCAACCCAGCATACCTTTTGCTAAAGATGTTGTATACGTACCTTTCCCCGCGCGCGTGCAATGGCCTCACCAAGCACCCGGAGGACTGAGCGAGATATCAGAAGAGAAGGAGTCATCATCAGAAGGTCAGGCACTTGCTGAAACCACTGGAAATGACCGCACAAAAGCCCGTGTGCCAAGAGCTTCTAGGAGAGAGCAAGCGCCAGTCCAGACACTCAAGGAAAATACAGATCCAGTCCAGGAGCCCGAGCAAGCACCAAGGATCTTGGATAAGCAACCAACCCGCCTGAGGGCGGTCCGCAAGATATCGAATCCCGGTCGTGTGACGGCAAATACAGCGACAGCACCCGCTCCGCTACGTGTTCCTCGAGAAGCAAGAGCGACGACTCGTTCTAGGGCCGCGAAAGAACCTGTCAAGGAAACTTCAAAGACAGCTTCCACTGGACTTCCTGATCTCCCGCCTCTCCGGGTCGTTAGGGCGAGCACTCGCGAGAGTGAGAAATCAGAGGCCTCGTCTCAATCAACGACGTCGCGAAGTGCTACCCGTTACCGCACAATTGGTCCTGATATGCCTGCAACCGACCCGGCCACAGTATTGGCACGTCTGGTGACTTTCCGAGACAATCTCGAAAGAGTGCTGGACAAGAAGCCAACCAAGTCGAGGCGAGAGCAGCCACCGCAGCTGCCATTCGTCGCGAAGTGGGTCGACTACAGCCGCCGATATGGTGTTGGGTATGTGCTCAGCGACGGCAGCATCGGGACGCTTTTGTCGGCAGAGGAGCAATACCCGGTCACGATTGCCTTTGCCACCGACGGATACAATCATCTGCGCAAAGCCGGAGGCAACCGGGAGCTAGCGAAGAGCGTCGCGTTGAACTACTACACAACGGTCAAGAAGGACCGAGGACTTTCGCAGATTGAGGTGCTGGATGCGCGGCGCGTCGAAGAGATCCGGACCGTGTGGCACAAGTTTGGAAAGTACATGTGCGCAACATTCGGGGACGAGGAGAAGCCGCTGCGCAAAGATCCGCGGGTGAACTTTGTCCGCTTCTACCAACGGTTAGGTAACGTAGGCATCTGGGGGTTCGACGACGGATCGTTCCAGGTAAGCAGGTTCGATGCTAATATCTTTACGGCAACCAACTAACCATTGCCAGTTCAACTTTCCGGACCACACCAAGCTTGTGCTCTCGTCGGACGCTGGATACGGACACTTTCTGTGTCTTCCACTAGACGCGACATGTCTGCTTGAAGAGACGGGCAGCGTGCCCTGGAGACATGTCAAAGCCCGGGCGAACCTGCGGGGCTCTCTGCAACAGCTCTTGTACGGCTCCGCAGACAAGGAAGACAGCTACAAGGAGCTTACCGAGAGTAATCTTCTCCGGGCGAAGATTGAGTTCATCTACGCAGTGGTTGTGGAATGGTGCCAGCAAGGGGGCCTTGGCTGCCTGGCAGACCCCAAGGTGTACTCTTGGGGCGGGCCGCAGCTGGAAGAATCCAGACGGCTCGACTGGGCGAGTGTAGGGCGTTTTGGCGGCGATGTTTTCTCATGATGACTGACGAACGACTTGTGGGCGGGCAAGCGACGGCGTTTTGTTTTTTTTGCGGGCGCCCTGGGCTTGAGGGATATTTCTACCTGGGCAACTTGGGGGCATTTTGCCGGCGTTTGAGGTGTGGGACGCGCAGTGTTCGCCTTTTGATTCGAACGCTCCTTTACGACGACTTGCATATCGAAGGGCGTTTTCGGTAGCTTTGAACAATGATGTGGTTGCGACTATTGCACCTGGGGCTGTGAGCGGTACGTAAGTGACACGGGCGTACGCGGCCAGGCTGCAGTCCGTCTGACCATGGCTGTGCCGAGACATGGCATGCCAAGACGCGCTAGTATAGGTTGAATACCTAATCATTATACCTTTTTTCGAATAGACTATTTCTCTTGATTACATGGAGTAAGGAAAAGTATATGTGCAAGGACGGCCTGAAAAGCCCGAACAGCGCCATAATCAGAATGTCTACATTGGGCATAAAACAAACGAAGCCAACAACGCCTACTCGAGACGGAGAGACACTGGAGCCTGAAAGGAGAGCTGGTTTCGATATTAATAGCAGCTTTAGCTGCATATCAAAACCGGTTACGTATTGTAGTCCGATCACGTGCTGTGCCCAGAGACTCGAATTGCAAGAAGCTCTGGTATTACTCGTTTGATAGATGCTAAGATGTCAGGCATCTGTCTTGAGTTAGCCGCGCCAAGCCATCTGATCACGTGATGGGCGTTAGAACGTTGGAACGGTCAGAAGGCCAGTGCCAGGACGGCCAATATAGCCAAGAGCAGTGTAGTAGTAACGGCCAGTACAGACAGAGCAGCTAGTATGGCCAGAGCAGCCAGTACAGCGCCACGGTCGGTACAGCGCCACAGACAGGACAGTGTAACAGCCAAAGCTGCAACCCCTTTTCAGCACTGGCACGGGCTGTAGGCATGTGCATTCTTCGCCGCTTACAACAATCCAGTGGCTGCCGATTTCCAGCTCTTGCCATGGCCTGGCCGGGTGTCGCTCTGAACCATGAGGTGGCTGCAACGGTTGCGGCGACTGCGCGCGTGCTGGCGGTGTCTGGGGGCTGTGAGCGAGCGACACGTAAGTGACGAGACAGGTGTACGCGGCGGCATGGGCGGGGAATCAGGCAGACGGCTGAGGCTGCCCAAGGCCGTGGCAGCACCGTCGAGACTGGCTGTGCAGAGTCGGCCGGGCATACCTCGCAGACAATGGGCGTGCTAAGTGTAGGGGAGTTGAGACGGGTCGGGTTATGCCGCCGTGGCCGGGCCAGCTTGCGCGTACTGTAGTGGGAGCAATACGACGGGCGGATGCCTGTGGCTGTGCGGTGGGCGAGGAAGGGCCCATTCCGACGAGCCCGACTGAAGGCTTGTCGGTCCCTCTCTGACGTTGGTCTCCGTCTCTGCGAGCCATTGCCGCCAACACCACACCCACACCCTCTTGAGCGGCCGCTCCCCAGATCCCCCCAGAGAGCACGCCCACGAGAGCGTCTCTGGCCCGTGACGCCTGCCTGCCCGCCCTCTGCTGCATCCTGACCGCAGCAGCAGCATACACACAGCCGCCCCCCCACCACTGGCCGACGCAAGCTACCGTCCCAGCTCGACATCGGGCATCAACCATGGTACCACGCCAGGCCTGCTCTACACAACGCCTCCCAGCTAATGCATGTCCTGTGTAGGGGAAAACCAACCGCGCAGCGCGCAAGGCCGTAGGCGGCCAGCCCGCCGCCCGGACAGCTCCCAAGTCCCAGTTCGCAACAAAGGCCGTCTTCGAGACGACCAAGAAGAAGGAGGTCGGCGTCTCCGACCTGACGCTGATCAGCAAGATCTCCAACGAGGCCATCAACGAGAACCTGAAGAAGCGCTTTGAGAATGGCGAGATATACGTGCGTCGCTCCGCTTGCGCCAACCCCGCCGGCACACGCAGCACCACACTGGCACACCGACTGACAAGATGCGCAGACATACATTGGACACGTGCTGGTGTCTGTCAACCCCTTCCGCGACTGTACGCAGAGCCACATGCGCCCCGGCGAGACAGATGCTAACAGCTGGCAGTGGGCATATACACCGACCAGGTGCTGGAGAGCTACAAGGGCAAGAACAGACTCGAGGTGCGGCACATGGCAACCGTCTCGCCCACACCCCACGACTGACTGCAGCATAGGTTCCGCCCCACGTCTTCTCAATCGCCGAGTCTGCCTACTACAACATGAACGCATACAAGGAGAACCAGTGTGTCATCATCTCGGGCGAATCAGGAGCAGGCAAGACCGAGGCCGCGAAGCGATTGATGCAGTACATTGCCAACGTCTCGGGCGGGAGCAACTCGTCTATCCAGGAGATCAAGGACATGGTCTTGGCCACTAACCCTCTGCTCGAGTCGTTTGGAAACGCAAAGACACTGCGGAACAACAACTCGTCGCGATTCGGAAAGTACCTCGAGATTCACTTCAATGGGCAAGGAGAGCCGGTCGGAGCAAATATCAACAACTACCTGCTCGAGAAGACGCGTGTAGTAGGCCAGATTACCAACGAGCGTAACTTCCACATCTTCTACCAGTTTACCAAGGCCGCTTCTGCAAATTACAGAGGTAAGATGCGGAAATAACTGGTTGGGCAAGCCCGCGCTAAGTCGTGTAGAAATTTTCGGCCTACAACAACCACAAGCCTACGTTTACACGAGCCGCTCAAAGTGTTTCGATGTCCCAGGAATCGACGACAATGCCGAGTTCAACGACACGCTAAACGCCATGAAGGTCATTGGGTTGCCACAGGCGGAGCAAGATAACATTTTCCGAATGCTGGCGGCCATCCTCTGGCTGGGCAACGTCTCTTTCCGGGAGGACGATCAGGGCAACGCAGCCATTGTAGACCAATCCGTGGTTGATTTCGTGGCCTACCTTCTCGAAGTCGAATCCGCGCACGTCAACAAGGCACTTACCATCCGCATCATGGAGACAAGTCGCGGAGGCCGACGAGGCTCCGTATACGATGTGCCTCTAAACTGTGCACAAGCAGGCGCAGTCCGAGACGCACTCGCAAAGGGAATCTACTTCAACCTCTTCGACTGGATCGTAGAGCGAGTCAACTTGTCCCTGAAAGCCCGCGGCGACACTGCGCACTCGATTGGTATCCTCGACATCTACGGCTTCGAGATTTTCGAGAAGAACAGCTTTGAGCAACTGTGCATCAACTATGTCAATGAGAAGCTTCAGCAGATTTTCATTCAGTTGACATTGAAGGCAGAACAAGAAGAGTACGAGCGAGAACAGATCAAGTGGACTCCCATCAAGTACTTTGACAACAAGATTGTCTGCGACTTGATCGAAGAGAAGCGACCACCGGGTGTCTTTGCTGCGCTCAACGACGCTTGCGCAACAGCACACGCTGACCCCACTGCCGCCGACCAGACCTTTGTTCAGAGGCTCAACGCACTCTCGTCGAACCCCAACTTCCAGCCTCGCCAAGGCCAGTTTGTCATCAAACACTACGCAGGTGATGTGTCGTATGCCATTGACGGAATGACAGACAAGAACAAGGACCAGCTACTGAAGGACTTGCTGAACCTGCTTGGCCAAAGCAGCAACACGTTTGTGCACACGCTCTTCCCCAACCAAGTGGACCAGGACAACAGGCGGCGACCACCAACGGCTGGAGACAAGATCAAGGCGTCTGCAAACGACTTGGTAACCACTCTTATGCAAGCTCACCCGTCGTATATCCGTACCATCAAGCCGAACGAGAACAAATCGCCCAAGGAATACAACGACGGCAACGTGCTCCATCAAGTCAAATACCTCGGTCTGCAGGAGAACGTGCGAATTCGAAGAGCTGGATTTGCGTCGCGTCAGACTTTCGACAAGTTTGTGGAGCGATTCTTCCTGCTATCGCCAAAGTGCTCTTATGCTGGAGAATACACTTGGACGGGTGACTATGAGACTGGTGCCAAGCAGATCTTGAAAGATACCAACATTCCGGCCGAGGAGTTCCAAATAGGGACGACCAAGGTGTTCATCAAGACACCCGAGACGTTGTTTGCTTTGGAGACGATGCGCGACAAGTACTGGCACAACATGGCGATTCGTATCCAGCGTGCTTGGAGAAACTACCTGCGCTACCGGATAGAATGCGCGATACGCATCCAACGGTTCTGGCGGAAACTCAACGGCGGCAAGGAGTTTATCGAGTGGCGCGACCAAGGGCACAAGGTTCTCCAAGGCCGAAAAGAGCGTAGAAGATACAGCTTGATCGGTTCTCGAAGGTTTATGGGTGACTATCTCGGCATCGGCAACCATGGTGGTCCTGGCGAGATCATTGCGCAAGCCATCGGCATGTCTTCCCACGAGGAAGTACCGTTTTCGTGCAGGGCCGAAGTACTTGTGTCGAAGCTCGGTCGATCGAGTAAACCGGAGGCTCGTATGCTGGTTCTCACCAAGAAGAACGTCTACATTGTCAAGCAGGTTCTGGTGAATCGTCAAGTTCAGATCCAAGCGGAGAGAACAATACCCGTAGGCGCCATCAAATTCATCAGCTGTTCGACGCTCAAGGACGACTGGTTCTCGATAGGCGCAGGGTCGCCAACGGAGCCCGACCCGCTCGTCAACTGCGTGTTCAAGACTGAGTTTTTTACACATCTAACCAACGTACTGCGAGGCGCTCTGACGCTCAGGATAGGCGAAACGTAAGTGGTGCGCGTGACCAAGACATGCACGTGACTAACATGATGCAGCATTGAGTACAACAAGAAGCCTGGCAAACCGGCCCAGGTCAAGGTGGTCAAAGACCCCGCTGTACCGCGAGACGACTTGTACAAGAGTGGCACCATCCACACTGGCCCGGGAGAGGCACCCAATTCGGTGTCGAAGCCCACGCCCAAGGGCAAGCAGGTGGCGGCAAAGCCCATCACAAAGGGCAAGCTTCTACGGCCCGGTGGCCCAGGTGGAGGACCGTCGAAGCTGGCATCTCGCCCAGCGCAGCCGAGATCTGTACCTCAGCCACCAGCTGCACCTCAACCCAAGCCTGTTCCAGCACCGGTTGCGGCATTGTCGAACGGCACGAGCTCTCACACGCGCACCGTTTCGGCGGGCTCAGCACGCGCACCACCCCCACCACCGCCTCCACCGCAAGCACATGCTGCACCGCCGCAGCCAAAGGAGCCTCGGTACAAGGCGCTGTATGACTTTGCAGGCCAGAGCGCTGGCGAGCTGAGTCTGGGCAAGGATGAGATCATTCTGGTCACGCAGAAGGAGAATAACGGTATGTTGATCTTTGCTGCAATGAGACGATGGAGCGACGAGTAAAGTGACTGACGAAATGCACTACAGGATGGTGGCTGGCCTCGCGTCTTGACAAATCTGCATCTGGTTGGACACCATCTGCTTACCTTGAAGAAGTCGCTCAAGCTCCCCCGCCAGCGCCACCCGCTCGCCCTGCGAATGGCAAGCCCAAGCCGCCAGCGCCACCAGCTAAGCGTCCTGGCGCGAGAAACGCTGTCAATGGCGATTCGGGCAGGGATAGTGGGTACAGTGGTAGCGGGGGCAGTACTATGGAGAGCGCGAGAGACAGCAGCGGTAGCATCGCTGGAGGACTTGCAGAAGCACTGAGGCAGAGACAGGCAGCCATGCATGGAAGGAAAGCCGACGAGGATTGGTAGATGAGGGGATTGTTGAGGGGACAGTGGTTGAATTGGTCGAGCAAAGAGAAGGCAGCAACTTGTCATTGACTAGGACAGGGATGGCTATAGCACTGAAGAATGATGTGGTCCCATTGGCTCAAGTAAGTGATGCATTTGACGGTGCACATGACTTTGCCAAAAGTGTGCATTCACGGGGACATTGTAGTTGATTGTGTAGAAATTGAAACATGTGGAGCCGTTTTGAAAAGAGAAGGGGGGCGGGCAGGATGGGGCATGGCTTGCCGGCCCGGACGTTCAGTTGATGACCCAGAGACTAAACGACAAAGACACAAGTGTTTTTTTTTCTTTGCTTAGACCAGTGCATGTTGTCTTGTAGTCACGGGACCCCGGAAACATGGATGGACAGCAGGTACTATGCAATAGCAAAGTTTTCGGCGAGGGTTTCCGTAGCTGATGAGATATTATGAAAGCGCAAGAAGAGCAAGTTTTAAAAAAAAGAGACTAGAGCAAGAGTCATGACATGGAATTGCTTGGGTGGGTGGGCGGACGAGTCTTGGCATACCCATGATAAATCGAAGTTTAGATGAAGAGGGCTCAATCTACCCGTGATATGGATTTGCCACAGATACATATGAACAGCCCTGCCATGGTACCGCACATCACACACACATGCACACACATACACACCCCGGTCCATATCCCAATTTTGTTTGTGTTTCACGACAAAAACAGCCGGTAGTGGGCAAAATGGAGGTTGTTCCGTCAAAGTAGGGGGACATACATACAGGCTTTTTTTTAGCCACACTAAGTACTTGGTTTGGTTGAGATGCACGACTGGCCCAACAGACTGACTGTGTCTTTGAGGCAAGAACACAGGAACAGGAACAGGTGTCAACTCGGGGGAAAAGAAAAAGGGAAACGTGGTTATCTATTCTTGTTGTACTTGTTACATATGCCATGGCCCTTGTCTATCTAAGTACTTACCTACATAACATAACATAACATACCGCGTATCTTACCCGCCCCCCCTCCCCCTCAACCCCCAACTTCAACCCCAACCCCAGTCACACCCAAGACACACCCCCCCAAAAAGAGACACCGAAGTATTGCCTGATCTGAGCAAGCAAAGCAAAGCAAAGCACATTACCATGCTTCCCCCACCCCGGCCCCCTGTCCCGTCCTTTATATACAAGGGGCAGGGTAAGGGCAGAATGCGGCAATCTTGCACGCACGCACGCCCGCCCGCCCGCATTCTCTCAGGACTAAAATAAAATGGCATGGTTATATGTAGATGGGTCAGGTGATGGCTGGGCTAATTCTATTTGTGGGGGGGGGAGGGGATGGACCTCGATGATGATGATGACATTGATGATTATGACTCGGGGGGGACGTTGAATGGAAGATGCGGACTTGGGGTTCTTACAGTTTGTCCCGTGTGCGTGCCGTCATGATTATGTATGTATGCTGGCTATAATGGAGAGATAGCGAGATAGATGGAGAGAGAGAAGATGAGGTTCCAGTCACGGCAATGCATGCATCTGACCAAGGTCGCTGCTTGCTTAACCGACACGGCGCTGGCGTCCGAGTGTGTGTGTGTGTGCCTCGATGCCACGAGCGATCCGATTCCACGGCGATATCATACTCAAT